GCAAGAAGGCTCAGAGGGAGGGGTGGTGACACCTTGCGATATATGCGGGTACTAACGTGGCTTTCCCATGAACACATGCAGACCCGCGACCCATGAGTCACAACATGGAGAAGTGCTCTTGTTTAACCAAGATGTACTCAGCCTCATGGTGCTGGCTGAATCTCGATGCCAAAGGGTGACGCGTTGGAGATTATAATGCGCACACGGCTCTCCTAGAACAAAGGATAAGCGCTTTCTCGCTGCTCCAATATACACATTCATATGGAAGAGCGATAGCCTCGGGCAAAGCACACGGGTGGTCGAACAAAGGAGTATACAAATATACATTTCGGTTTCAGGCAGTCTGCGCAGAACTTTTTATCTCTTTGCACGCCCATACTCCTGGGCATGCCATGTGAGAGTCTGCAGGTGCCGAAAGGAGCCACCCCGCTGAACAAAGCCGTCTGTTCGCAGCGCTGGCTCTTCACAGACGTAGACCTGGCTGTACGAGTAATACGCCTCCGTAAGGTAAAAGGTTCACCCGCGCAGCTGCGCAGCTCGTTTATACCGTTTCTCATAAAGATGGTTGGAACCATGCACTTTGTAGCTGGTGGGTTTTTGAACATTGCACGATACACCGATTCTGACGACTTTATGGTTCAACACTTCTGCTACGAAATATATTACGCGTTAAGGAGACCCTTGCCACTACATGACTTCTGCATAGTGTCTTATCCCTAATAATTTTAGGCACAGGCGTGAATCCGTGGTAGAGCATCTGCTTTGCGCACGAAAGTCTTGCATCGAATTCTCGCTCCAGCCAAGCATGCATGTTATTTCCTTAGTTGCTCATACTTTGAATATGAACTTGAGAACAACTCTCATTTCGTGCCAACGACTCCGACACATGCATTCTGAGAAATGAGCTCTTTAATGCTATCGTGTCTAATGAGACTTTGTTTAGAAAACATGACACGTCAAAGCGTTACAGGGGTCTCAAACACAATATTAAGAGTGCGTATATTAAGGTGCAAGACTGACGTTATGAAAAGCGTATTTCGATATATGATCGCTTGTATAACCACTCACGAAAAAGAAAAACACGAGCGTATAGCCATGTTCCGCTAAAACTTATTCAGTTGATAACACATGAATTCAGTATAGAAAGTTCCAAAACCACAAATATCATCGCTGAGCACCACTTAAATGCACAAAAAGGTTTGAGGAGACACAAAATGGATATTGTCAAATAAACTGTTTGCTTCCTCTGACAAAAATTTCTTCACCGCACATGTTTCTCAGCTGTATGACAGACCTTAAATGCCAGTTGACTTGCCCAATACATTCTTGATTGTTTCTAGAGAATAGTTATCTCAAAGCTGACCTATTGGCCACGAAGCCTATGCTATTTCATAAAACTAACTTCTGGTGTAATTTAGTGAAGAGGGGAAAATTGTAAGGTGCAATGCGTGGAAACATGCACCAAGGTAAACATATTCGCGTTTGTCAGGCTCACCTGGAGTTTTTGTGGAAGCTTACAGCGTCAATTATTCAAGCACTTAAGGAAGCACTCAATTTCTATTCGACGAACACAGCTGTCTGACTGCGCAGCAAGAAGCGAAGCTTCGCTTGTCAAGAGCACCACCGTTGTAGGCAGCACAGTCCAGCCAGTGAATATATGAGTGTGATTATCAGTACACATATTCCATGTGCGACTGACGAAAGTATTGTAACTCCTACGCGCTCATTGGCCATCGATTAGCTAGAATACACGAACGCACCTGCTCTTTATTGCGCACGAGGACGCTGAGATATATTTGATAAAACAGTCGTTCAGTGCAAATATTGACTCGAGTTCTTGGCAGTCAATGTTAAAACGTTCAGTCGTTTTCGCCGTCTGCACTCGACATGATAAAGCATACAGTATATTGACAACGTAACCTTCTGTATTTTCTGGTCCCCCGTTCGTGTATGTCAAGCATACATGAAGAGTTTAGCGTGGATTTATCAAGAAGGGACAAGCTGAAGGGGACACACGCTGGAGGTATTGTTAAAAAAGAAATCATTTCAACCCGGATGGCAGATATTAGGTAGTAATGGCTGGTTAGCCAAATATTTTAGCACATGTGGATGCACTGCGTTTTTTGATGAGTGTTTCATTGTGCGTAGGGTACACTGGCGAAATTATTCGATTAATCGTTGAACCAGCAGCGTATCATATTAGTGTCCATGCCTGTCTTTAAGTAACGTTGAAATAGTTTACCTGGATGTACCTTTAGCTGCTCATGTTAGAGGATCACTTTTTAATGTATGTGGATCAGCATTCAAATACATCACTAGTTAAAAGTTAGCGCCTGTGAGTGTTGCCTTCGTGTTGTGCCGAACCCATAAATCTGCGGTAAACGCATTAGATATATGACAGCAACAAAGCCGCAAGTGAGCTTTTATTTAGTAAGGCACCCCTCATTTTATTGCCCATACCCTGTGGTGAATTGCACCAGTATGAAGGACAATCAATCAGTCAGTCGATCGATCCATCGATTGATCGTTTGCCCTTTATACTGGCGCAATGCACCAGATATGTCTCACCAACAAAGCCACAAGTCAGCTTTTTATGTAGTAAGGCACCGCTCGTTTCATGGCCGATCACCTGTGGTAGAGTGCGCCAGTATGAAAGGCAACCAATCAATCAATCGATCGATCAATTATTCAATCAATAAAGTCTGCTGATGTTATGCTAAGAAGTAATATCAGCCGTAAGTGCCAAGAAAATTTTATGTTTGAGCGAATCATGAATGTTGGAGAATGTCTAAAGTATCAATATTATACACAGAACACTCTAGTAATTGAGTAATCAATGGGAATGTTTGGCATGCTTTGCGCCCCCAGTGGGGGGCTCTGTCACACAAACCGTACGGTGCAGTGGGAACATAATGCAATTATTGATGTCAAGACAGAATAAAAGTGAACGTCTGTGCTGAAGTCTCAATAAAACAAAAAAAAATATTTCGGGGTTACCTTTGAAAACGACGCCAGTTCAGTTTGCGCCAGTCTGTCGTTTCCTGGAGTCCTCAGCGACTCTATGCGCGAGTGCCAGCTGCAGGGTAGTGCCGGCATGGCGAATGCCATGTTGGATGAGCGTTCAGGCAAGCGAGCTGTTTTGAATGGCGCTAAAGTACGCGGACAGTCCAAGCCCAATTTACATCAAAAGTATGCACGTTTGTGGCATGAAAAAAGGACTGCGGGGTTTCTGCTACGCTATTCGAAGAATAAACACTGACGTAGCATCTGATTCTCCTGGCATTATCAGGCGTCGCTCGGCAGACGTCGATGATGTGCTTTTGATTTCAGACCACGCCAGCCGTACTTTTGAAGAGCTTAGTGCAAACAGAGATTTTCATTCAAACATGAGTTCTCGATCAACAGTCCCAAGTAATCGAAGTATTTTTTGATAGATACGTGCTGATCCTATGGTTCAAACATGTGCTCTTGCCTGTCCATTTATTGAACAACACTATTCACGGAGATGCGGAGTCTTGCTTCTTTGTAGGCTGTAAAATGCGGCAATTTTTTTTCACAATAACATCTCCTCTCACCAGGGTTTTATGTGAGCATGAAAAGGCCTCCTCTTTATACTCCCACAAAATTCAAACATACTCGCTACACGCAACCCAGTCATATTCTACAGCATATCAGTGGCTGCTTCCCAGTCGAAAAATAACCAAACACAGCTTAGGACAATAGAGATTGCTAACACTTATAGAGTTTGGAATTTTCTAAAATAAAGGTTCTATAGAGCTTAAAAGGGTCCTGCCACAGTTTTTTAGGCAGCCATTTACTGTGGATTCACTAAAAAAGCTCATCTAATCATGAATTCACCGCCGGAAAAAATTTTTCAATGCGTTCCGTACGAGCGGAGTTACAAAGATTTGTCATACGCTGCTATTGCATTATCTCTTCCTTCGATCCGACAAATGTACTGGAAACTAAGCAAAGACGTATGCCACAAGCAAATAAGAATGTCACGCACGCCTAGTGACCTTGAGCGCTTTTTCTCTTGTTTCTTTCGAATACGCGGCTTTTCAGTGCGATCACGCACGCACGGGTGGACAAGTAACGGCCTCCCACGGCAACAACTGCACCAAATGAGCGCGCCATGCTCAAATCAGCCAATCAATGATACATTGGCTTTTACACAATTATATTGGGTATTCGACATCATTTCACAATAGAAGAGCAAGCGAGTTTTCGCTGAGTTTGATATTTTATTCCAAATTGAGAAACGTGAGCTGCGCTCTAATATACCGATCGACAACGTTTTCTGACCATGCACACATAGTGTTGCAAGGCCCCATTAAGACCACAGGTTTCCAAGCACTCTTTGGCCTCAGTGCCACCGCACTTTCATTAGCGCAGATCATGTTGACCACTTGAAGTAATAATTTCAGCTTATTGGATATTTGTAAAAAGAAAAAAAAATACGCCATTTTTTGACGATGAAATAAGCATAGTTTTCTAAGCAGCACTTCTTACGTCTAACCATGTTTCGCCGATGGTGATGTTATATTGAATTTCTGAATGCACAAAAAATAACGAAAAGTGAAATGGTAAAAAAAAAACACACACTGAGATGTCTCAAGGTCACGTATTCTGAAAATCGCCAATGTTACAAAAAACTTGACGTATACTCAATTAAAGGCTTATTGCGAAATATTAGGCTGCGCGACCTGGTCCATCAGCTCGGAGCTGAACGACCTGCTCTGGACCACCCGACTGGTCGAGAATGCCGCGCGAGTACGTTGCCTCGTAGTTGTGACCTGAGGCCTCCCGGACCCCACTCGCGGCAAACCCAATAAAGTGTATTACACTTCTGTCATCGGAGAATTTACTAGAAGGTACAGACGCAGACATTATCGATACGATCGACAACTTTTCTTTTATTGAGGTAGACATACAACCAAATGCAGGTGTTTTGTTCCTGAACAATTTCATGATGAGAAGAGGATGTCACAATGATTTCAGTAAAAACATATTACAGGCTAATAGCATGGGTTCTCAGGCACACGTCGCTATGGGAGATCGCAGTTTGCCCAGAGATCTATCACGTCACTTCCCTGCGTCTTCCCCGCAATCCATTCTTTCGTTCGCTCAATTTGTTCAGTGGTGAAGTAGTTTCTCCAATCTCCTACAATACCCTTGCGCACGAATGCCGAGCCTTCGTGCATTTGGACCTCTTCTTCCGCGCCAGGTTTTGGCGTCACCACAGCTTCGGGTTTCTCTAGAGCAGCTTTGAAAAGCTTTTTCGACCTTTCTGATGGCTTATCGTTGAACAATACCTTCATTTTTTCCAAACTACAAGCGTTCAGGACACTCTCAAGAAGCGCTTTGTCATTGCGGAGCGCATTTGCGTGTTCTTCACCAAGAAACTCGGCAATCTTGAGCACCTTTTTACTGGTGTCCGTCTTGAGCCGTTCATATGTGACAAAGTGGATATTATCAGCCATCCGGCTCTCGTACCATGGTAGAAGATGATCGAAGTAGTCGCCGTAGATCACCTGGAAAAGAGAGCGGTGCTTATTAATATTGTGAAGTGCATGCTTTCGCTTGTCAGCGTAAGCCTGCTGGTCAAATTCCAGCCTAAATAAATGCTTCTATAGTTTATTTTGGAATACTGTTAACGTCAAACACGTTTTTTTTCATTATATCTCGAAAACATAAAAAAAAAACTTAGCGCGACAGATACCTTCAGGTTGGACGTAGAAAATAAAGAGTCTCGTGGCAACGAGAGCACGTTCATTAAGAGCGTAATTTCGTACGAAACAAAACTAAACTTTTTTCATTGTCAACTTTATAGGTGCACTTGTGTCGTGAAGGTCTTCATTTTATTGAAACAATCTGAAGTAACTCGTGCATTCTAGTAAACAAGAAGCCTGGTGTATAACGTTAGGTGAAATAATGCGTGAGAGTACATTTTTTAGTTTTTTTCAAGTGCATGCTCCGAGAAAATTTAAGTAGCAGGTGTTGCTGCACATGAACATAAGTAGGAGTTCTCCAGTATTTGTCTGATTACTATGATGTTTTTATTGTGCTGTGACCTTGCACAGTACACGAGCCTTTACCCTTCAGCCTCCAATGAGATGTGAGAACCGCGAATAGGATTGAACCCGCGATTTTCCGATCAGCAGCCGACAGACATAACCACTGCGCCACCATGGTATACGTGTGTTGATGATGAAAAGAAGTAGTGCGTAATTTCGCAGTCGTGTAAGTCACCAGGCAGCATGCCTAAAACTGAAAATTCGGCAGATCCCACACCTTTTGAGAAGTGGTTTCATGCGAAGGAGCCTTCTGGTAACTGGCTATGCCAAATTTCTTTTCGCTTTCACATGAGGACTACGAGGTGGATTGATGTCAAGTGAAATAGTTGAGTGCACTTCGTGGGCCTACCACGTCGCTGGCGTCTACTGGCAACTGCACATGGTTACTTATGGTTTGACATAAGGTCAGCACTCGGAGTACACATCCCCAATATCTACCACGAAATGTGCTTTCCTGCGTGACGCCGTGAATATCACTGGTAACTTTCGTTAGCCTATTTTGCCGGGATCGCACAACACTTGAATATAGCTTGCTTAATCATAGAAAAACAGATGTAATGTTTTTTAGAATGCCTCACTACGTGTTTTATTGATGCAGTGTTACTTCATAATTTGCAAATACTGCATTTACGCACCCGACGTATTCCGGAAAGAGTTCTTTTTTGTTTACTTTTACACTTCTTATTGTATGCGCCACTCTCCTTAGAACTGTATTATTTTTTTATCTTGACAGGCTGTGCTGGTAATACTTCTAGATATGCCGTAAGACTGCTTCGTTTCCCTTTTCTGTGAGCTTGTGTGCCTTACGGCTCCGTTTGTGCGTGTAAATTTGAAACTGTATATTTTCCCACCTGCATGGTCCTTTGTGACCGCAGTTTACTGTAAATAAAATAAATAAAATAAAAATGACTGATCATTAGTTATATAAAGAAGTCAACAATGAAACCACAACTCACGTCAGCATGGATCGATGTTTGTGTTATAGACGTGCATATGTAATGCTTATGGCTTTTTATCAGAATAATTAACCAATGTTACAGCCAAAATTACAGTTATTTCCCATAAAAATGTTCGTTTAAACGGTAATTGGGTAAATGTAAACTACCAATTAGAAATGGCGCATACCCAGGTAAGGCGTCTCGTGGTAAACGCGTTTATACAGCATGTGCGTGGAGGAAATGGTTCGACGAAGCCCTAGACGAAATTTTATCGTTATTCATGTCGTAGAACTCTAGCATAGCATTTGTAGTCTACATGGAGATCTACCGGACCTAGTCTGGTAGATAGGTAGATAAGTATGTACGTCAAAACGCTAAAACGTCCTTCAGGTCGCTAATATTTGCTTCGCCTTTAACATAAAACAAAATAAAGTGGTGTTGTTTCATTAAAACGTTATTGGATGCGTCCATGTTTTATAATATGTAGTATTTCATGAACCTATAGTTTTTTAGGTACACTTTTGTCATCGTAGCCATGGCGAATTTTAAGAAATACTGCGTACAACATGGCTTAAATTATGAATGAATTCTAACTGTGAACACATACGTGCGTCAAAATAATAATAAAACAAGCAAGCAGTGTCGCAGAAAAAAACACCACATAAACTTTTTATATGTTCAAAGCAATATTTTTTGTTTTGGTATTCATTTCGGGCACCTTGATTCTAGATAATGCAGCATAGTTGTCGTGCAGTGATGAGTGCATTATGAGAAGCTGTGCCCAGTCACACGCTATGAATTCCTAGAGGCACAGTTGAACCGTAGGAATGTATTTCAGAACTGCCGAGGAACTTTATTGTCAGGGGAGTTGTGTTGCTGAGCCGAAGAATACAAAGTCAACTCTTAGCCACACCGGCCCGATTTCTCTATATGCAAAAAAAAAAGTGATAAAACAATCGTGCTATTTTACTGTTATGTGCAAGTATATGATTAGTCAGTTACCAAGAACCGGCAAAAGTTGCTCTCTACAGCGTGTGTTTTTTATGTTGTGATATTGTCGCAGTAAACTTCACAGTTTTCTATTAATGCTGTCAGAAAAAATTGGTTGTGAGGCAGCGGTGCCAATACCCCCAAGCTGGCTGAATACTCACAAAAATATATAAAAAATTTGATTGACCAATTTATGGCCTTAGTGAATAATTCATAAACCGATACATAATAGAGCGAAACTAAATTACCTTTCCTTTCAGGTAGAGGCTCAGGAACTTCTCAAAGGAAACGTTGGTGACAGTTTTCGGCGTTATTCCCTTGATGAAATGGCAGTAAGACACCGCACAGTCATACGGATTCCTGGCCACGTAGATGTACTTAGCGCAATCCGCTAGACGGAGAACGTTGAATGGAAGATGGGTCGTGATGGGGCCATTTTTGAGAGGATTGTGCACAGCCGCTGCTCCAAAGAGATCCATGAATGGGCTCTTGAGTCTGAATTCGAACAAACTTGAGACAGGCTCGGCACGGGTCAAGATGTTGTACACTATGAACTGCATCCAGTGTGTGCCACATTTCGGGTAGGTAACCACAAATATGTCGCCATCTCGGTGTTTGTAGTTAACTGCTGAACGTATGGTATCATCCTGGAAAAAGCTGTGCATCCAGACACCTTCCACGTAATGGTAGGACTCTTCATCCATTGTTTCGTCACTTGCTTGTCCTGCGAAATCGAGTCATTAGAGAGAGGTAATGCACGTGCTTGTGTAAAATGTTTGGTTGCCTACTTAAAAACGCACGTGCGTAGTATAATGTTTAATAGCAGATATGCACATGACATGAGGTCCAGTGATTTTTCACTAGGCGAAATGGTCTTAAAATTTTTTCCAGATATATTTACGGTTACCAAAAATAAAACAGAAACTTAAAGATAACATCCCTTGTTTGTACAAAGAGTAGTAGGTAAGCAGAACGTGCACTCGCCTGATAAAACACAGTTGTTTTTTTTGGTATAGATGGCTTACGCTGACACAACCGAAACCACTATGCCGGTTTACTTCATGGTAGGACGCAAGATTTGGGACGTCACATTCATGTTATCATTAAATTACTTCCAAGTTTTTTGGTTGTAGGCGTGCAGTGGCCAATAGCAACGAAGCCGCATCGTTATCATAGTGAAGCGCATTGAGTGCAATTATAATATGATATATTTTTACGTCATCAAGAGCACCATGGGATGAATCAATAGGTTATCAAGCTACCGTTGTTAAGCAGTCTACCTATACTAAATCGTTTGTTAGAGACATAAGAAACAAAAAAAAATCTACTGCGGACATCGGAAGAAATCTATAAATTAAAGTTTTCCGGAACAGGGACGGGGCAGAAGTCATGTATGGTCACGGCTGTAAAGAAATAGATAAGTTATAATTACAAAAGCATAGCACAAACAGCCTTTGGGCTAAAGCTTTTGTTGACTAGGGCTAAACATTTTCGGCGGGAACTACTGTGCCGGTGGCTGATTTTACGTGCGGCGTGAGCCTAAATAATACGGGCAAACTTTTCAAACCTAACGAATACGAAGACGCCATACGGTTTGATCTTTTTATGTCTATGACAAGTGTTACCCTGTTGATAAGGTTATCAAAATGACGCACCTTTTTATCACTGTGAGGATGAAAGGCAACTTTGACACTGCAAACCTAACAACATTTGCTCTGGCAGCTGTTATTGACAAACATAATACTTGAAGCAACAATTTGTGTGTTTAGAAAAAAGTGGATAAAACGCCTGTCCTGTCTGTATTCTCTGCTTCTTCGCGGTGCTTTTTTGTTGTTGTTATCTTTTCTTTTTGATCTTTCTACACTTTATTAAAAAGACTGTTCAGGTTTACAGTTGATATTAAAAATATAGGCATCTTTATATATTTGTTCACCTTTCACGTTGCACATATGAAGTAAACACAACTGACATTTCGTTCAAAGGACAAAATGTTCAGCAGGCTGTGTACACATGCTGTGCGGAATCTGATGTCGGAGATTTTTTTCCTAATGCAAGAAAATAGTAGGGCACATTTATTCTTCTCAATTAGCACAACAAAATTACGCCTAGACAGGACAGAAGAAGAAATATGTGGACCGAATAAACACAGAATAGCGACCAATTTATTTGAATGATGCCTCTTTCTCACAACAGCGCTGCGCATGCGCACAATGAAACAAACGTAGAAGATACGTGGCGACTTGAAAAACGAGGAATTTAACTTTTTTCTTGTATACGTGTAACGAAGCTTCACTGATACACTCATCAGGTCTTTGCCTTTTTGTATTTTGCATGGTCGAAGATCTTCGCCATGCAAAATGCGGCGCGCATTTTCCTTCACCCGTCGTTTTACAAACCTGTCAAAGCCTAGCAAGGTGGGTCCTACTGTGTTGACTGTGGGCATCACTGTGCTCCGACAGACGCCTAATGATGCAGTGCTTCGTTTTTCCGATATATATTTACCAACAGCTCGAGGACAATTTCCTTGTATATTATGCGATACAGGCCCGATAAGTGCTCCAGGGAAGCGTTGTTACACGTATACACGAAAGAATTTGATTTTTTTTGTTGAGTAATCATACACAGTGCACGGTCACGTTTTCATACAATTCAGTTTTTTCTCTATTCCTGATTAGTACATAAGGAGGTCCCGGAGATACAAAACTGTCAGGGGGACCTCCTATTAGTCATTTGTCAATAATAATAAAATTGCCTGTGATGGCAAAAAGCAGTGATAGTCAAAAAGGAGGATGTGAGATAATAATTAGGCGGGCCATACAGAAAAAAAGAACAATAATGAAAACAACAAGGGGTAAGCGTTAATCAGCAACGTGATTTACTTACAAATAGTACAAAACTGATTATAAACGATAAAAACTGTAATCATCGCAGCTTATATAAACATAAGTGTTTATCAAAGAACACGGTGTAAAATATCCTAAATATAAACAAAACATGCTTGCAACTGATTTTAATGACAGGAGATCCTGAATTTCTAGCAACAAGATATTAAGAATTGGAGAAGAACGTTCAACACATATTTCTGATACATATTATATAAGTAGTATCATAGTGAAATGAATGATATGGTTCACATTTAGGTATTTAATCACAACCAGTCTACAGCGAGCAATGTTGTCAGTAGGTGTGTCTTGATGTGTTTTTGAATATAGTTGTTGTGCGGCATCCCTTATTATGTAATGGCAATATATTGCAATGTTGAATGGCAATGAAAAAGTTGTGAGTTTCGCATAACAAGTTTATTCGCGGAAGTAAAATGTTGCTTTTAGATGAAAATCTAGTGTTGTTACTATTAGAGGAGATGCATGAAATGCGTCGATAGCAATTTCATAGTTAAGAGTGTAATATTTTAGTAAAATCAGTTTGAGCTTAATCACGCAGCGTAGTTATAGCATGCTTATTGAAGTGCAGTTTAGTACCAAATGAGATATGTAGCTACAAAAACTTATGATCCGCAAAGCATCATTCTGCAAATGTTGTACATGTGTTAAATGCGTGGTAGATTTTTTTTCCCAGATGAAAATGCAGTATGGAAGGTGGGAATGCGTAAATGCGTAATAACGTGAAGTTCTGATACGCTGTGGAAAAAACTAGTGTGGTAAAATTAGTACTTTGATACCAAAAGCGACCATTTTTAGGAAATTTTAGCATGCAGGTTGAACTCACAATGATGATCAAACTTGACCCCAAAAAGATGACTTAGTGTGCAAATGAAATAACATATCATTAATAATGAGGGGGGTGCAGATGGGATGACAGGTTTCTTTTTATGGAAAAGTATGAATTAGGCTTTCGATGCATTATTATAAAGTTGGTTATTTTGGTACCTAACAGATAAGTTGCTCAAGTCACAGTTTACCCCCGAATGCAGAGATGTTACTTGACTCGTACTTGACTCGTTCTTGACTCAAGACCGTCTTGCCAGTCGCCATAAATCGTTCTCGAACTTGCGGATGACTTGAAGGTGACTTGGCTCGGTCGAAGTCAGGACAAGTTTCAAGTCAGCTGCGGGGCTAGCTTGAAAGCGACTTCGTGCGTCATTCCAACATGGCCACCTCTCGAATGGACGTCGCGTGAAAGGTGGCCGCTTTTGAGTTTGCTTGCCTCGCCATAAGCGTAGCATTTTTTGAGGCGCACTGCCTGCCGAAGATTCTTGGAACCGCTTTACGTGACCAAGGAAATCCGATGGAGTTGTACGACGAGCAACAATTCCACGCTAGGTACAGATTCATAAAGAACGCCATGGGGCAGCTGCTCGTTATGTTGCCGCTCCGTGAAAGTGGGGACAACCGAAGACAGCCCGTGCATCCAGTGTTACAGCTACCGATGGCTCTCAGGTTGTACAGCGCTGGCACATTCCAGCCAGTCACCGGAAATTTCGTCCACATTCCGTAGTCGACAGTGTGCCGTGCAGTCGGAAAAGTTACGCTACTCATCGCAAAGCACCTGTACGCGATGCTGGTGCGCTTTCCGCAGCCGGCGGACTGTTATGAAGTGGCTGAGTTCCCTTGCGTGACAGGTTGTGTCGACTACACACACGTGCGTATTAATAGCCCCGGTGTCGACAACGCCGAAGTGTTCCGTAACCGCAAAGGCTATTTCTGTTTTTCTATAACACGACGACACTTTCCGTCTCTTTCGGTAAAAAAAAAAAAATTGACTCGGTGCTGTGTCCGTGTGCCTCGTCTATCCTTTCGTCCCGTCTAGGGCGCTGTTTCTCGCTCAGAAAGGCATCGCTTGTAGCACAACGCTACGTAAAATTACACAAAAGAGGTGCCCCTATCACGGTTTTTTTTTTAATCCGCGTCACCATCATGCAGCGATACATTGCTGCACCCCGCGAGACAGAATTCTGCTGAGGGCAATGTCCTGACCCCCGCTTTTTCTCTTGTTTACCAAGCTCAACAAAAGGATACGAATCACATTTGTTCCCAGAACTTGTTTTTTTTTTTCATAATAACTGCGACCTAGCCCATTACAGGCATGCACACAGGCGAACAGAGGCAAATACCGTGAAAATCGCGTCACATCGTGAGCCAGGTCAGCACAAATACATGCCATGGCATCGATAGAGAAAAAAAAAACGACGAAAGAACCCAACGCGATGCTTGTTTCTTCTCCAAACAAGCAACCGTGGAGAAACGCACCGCATTTGGGTGGCCACTAAAACCAGCGGGCAACGAACGCTTTACAGAAGCAACACTGCGCATCGCTGTGGTGGCAGGCACCACGTGCCGCTCGTTAGCCGTAAAATGGCAAGAATATGCTTGTGGCCCTTCGTTTTTATAGTTATTTTAAAACGTATGGTCTTTTTTTGGTGTAATGCGTGCCTTACGCGAACAACTTCATTATTACCCTCGTTAGCAGGTGAGCAGCGTGTTTCTGCTTTGAAGCTCGTTCTTGACTTGACCAAGCAAGACAGCCTGAGCATCTATGAAACGCGAAGGCTGACTTGGGCGTTTTGAAGTCCGCTGCTTGCTTCGCGCCGACTTGCTCAAGTGAAGTTGAAGTCGCGAGCCAAGTAACATCTCTGCATTCGGGGGTTAGTTATATGAAAGTCATGCAATCGCTAGAAGTAAATATAGTGGTGTCGTCGACATATAAAATTAATGAGGTGCTAGTTAGGCAGTTGGCACT